CATGAGCTCCTGGATAAAGACTTCCAGCTTCTCCCTCAGGACACCAACAGCACCCAGGTTGGTCGTAGCAAGAGAGTGAAGGAGGTTGCAGACTGGCCTTGCCCTTTTGTGCTGATCTGAAAGATCCAGAATAGCTTAAAGCTGAACACTATGTTGCAGAGTCAATAGACTGCACCAACAGCTCTGACATTTGTGTGAAGAAGTATATCCCTTATGACTAATCGCTTGTGCCCTAAACCACATGTGCCATCCTGTCTCTTCATACAAGTGTCTGTTTATAGCATTATCTTGTCGTTCTGTACTTGGCCCCTGCTTTAGTTTGAATATCTCCTTTAAAATTCATGCTGAAACTTAATTGCCATTGCAACAATATTAAGAGGTTGGTGGTGATGGGGGTGGCAGGGGCTTAGAAAGTAAAATGCTTGTGTAGGAAGCTTCCAGAAGCTTCCCAATGGGTTGCGGGGGAGACCTATGCCAGTTATGGGTTTCTTTCTCTTGCTTCCAATCTTCTCTTCTTTCTCCTGTATTGTATGGAGGGACTCTGTAAGCATTGCTTCTATCAATAGACAACGCTGAAGGAAGGCAGAAATCTCCAATCTGGCTTTGCTCTCGTCTGCAGAGACAAACAGTGCAGGACATCCAGCTTGCTCACTCTTGGGAAGATTTAGTGTTTTGCCATTTCAGAAGGCTAGAGAATGCCACTAGCATTCTGGAGTCACCTTCTTATTGATGTTCAGCAAGTCTTGCAGATGCTCCTGTGGATGGTATCCAGCCAGTTGGACCAGCACTCTAGAAGGCTGGTGTCTATTTGTCATCCCTGGCATGAAGAACCACCAGGAACTTCTCTATTGCCCACAGGGTACCATCACCCCTTCAGAGGTAGAATCAGCCCTGGGCAATGCTAAAATCTTCTTCCAAATGTGTTTCTTGGCTGGGCACTCTGTCTCTGTCTGAGATGTGGGGCTGCTCTTTCCCTGTGTTATTTGTGAACTTACTGTAGTTTTCTTTACCCATTAGTGGCAATGCCGTGCTACTCACTAATATTGCTTCTATTAACTTTCCCCTGTGTGAATTGCTGTGTGCTTCCCATCTCCTAGCTGGATGCTGACCACTGTCTTTTGCTTCTAGCTGTTTTGTTTTTAAACATAACCTAATTTTATTAGCTCAGGATTTTGTTTCAGAAGCAACATAAATTACTTTTATTATGATTTTATAAATAAAGGGGTTGCCTGAGTGTGGCATTTCAAGAGGCTCTTTGCTTTCTTTGGCCATACATGAGGTCTGTTTCTCAAGCTGGGATCATGGATCCCTGCGAGCAGATTCAAAAGCAATGGTGGCTGTGTAACGAGCCATCCTAAACACAGTGGTTGGCACAATGACTGCTCTTTCTCATGGGACAAGAAGACTCCAAAGGTATATCAGAAATGGTGTGGACATAGGAAGGGGTGGAGAATCAGGAGCCCCAACCCCTAACCCAGGGCTTAAGCACATAATTAAGTTCAAGCCATAGTTGAAAATTTCTGTTTTCCATACTGTAAGACAATATGGACATCATAAGATGTCAGTGCCTGTATTTGTATTTATGGTCAGTCATGTTGTCACAAAGGATGGCCGTAAGTGAGCACGTTCAGTTTTATTTATTTATTTATTTGGTCACATGTGTAGTTGCTAATCATTTGTGGAGTCCAATCCTTTTTAGCTTATTCATTGCATTCCAGTAACTAGATGCCATCACTTATCACTGCTCCTTTTCAAAGGCTTTCAGAGCCATAGGCACACAGAAAAGTCTCCAAGCTGAAGGGCACTAACCACTGCTATCTGAGCTGGGTGCCTGGTGTTGTGTAACAATTTCCTGAGACAAAAAGATCCACTTTGAAGGGAAGCTCATCAAAACAAAATTTTCTAAAGGAGATGAAAGATTCTATCCATCCGGGAAGCTGGTTCATTTCAGGAAATAAGCAATGCAAAAGCTTCAGGAAGTCCCCGAAACTGACCAGATTCTCTAGATTCCTCTCTTCCCAAGCATGTATAAACTGTAAGGACTGCTGAAAGATACTCTCAGAGCTGCCTGGGGGATGCAGAAATCAGCAGAATGACCCAGAAGAGACTCAGGCCACCTGGGCTGCCTGAAAGAGACAGTCTCCAATCTGTGAATTGTATTTAGGCTGGATAATGTTCTCTAGGTTTCCAGCTTTTGTGAGCTGCCACTCACACTGGGGTGGGATCTTGGTGATGCAACTGTCTTTGAATCACTTATGCTCTTATGAGTAACTATTCACTTATATTCTTGTAAGTAACCCAAATTAAACCCAATGGTTGGCCTTTGGTGGTATCCAATCTTCGATCTGTTATCAACATGAACTATTGGTTCACATGTCTCTAGGAATGTAAGAATGGCATCACATGAACCTTGTTTTGTTTTAAATCAAGCCAGCATCTGCTGAGGCCATCTCAAGCATCATCCACCCAGTGCTGGGACAACCAACAGGAAGGGAATATGTATGGCGACATATGAGAACTCTATGCCTTGATTCCTTTGATGACCCAACTCAGAGGACCCAGCCAGATAAAACCTGAGGATTGCACCTGCTTCTGCCAAAGAGATAGAACAATAGGACTCCACTCAGAAGGTTCCTGGAAAGCAAGGACCACAGATTCACTTAGAGGTAGGAACCTGTCAGGACCTTTCCACATCTGGGTGTAGTGGGTAGCCATTCCAGCTTTGATTTGGAAGTTCCAACCCCCATTGAGGCTTCGGTAACTGTCACCCCTACAAGGGGGGGGGCCAAGAGAGAGGACCCTGAAGACCCGAGATCCAGATGGGCCGGCTTTCTTGGTTTCTGGACCCAGGACGCTGAAGGTAGATCGAGCAGAGTTCTCCAGAGAACACTGCCGGACTACGCTACATCTTTCCCAGACCCTGCAACCTATCCCTTCACCTGTAAGTTACCCCACAAAATAAACCTCACTTTTAACTACATGGAGTGGCCTTAATAGTTTCACCAATATCTGGGAACATCTGGGGGCTGTGAACCTTGACCTCTCCAGAGTGGATGCCACCAAACATTGATCAATGTGTAATGCTGATTTTTACTCTCATCTATATCGCTACAGCATTGACTATCTTAAAAACAGCATCATGAGCTGGTGATCATAGTTCAACCACCAGAGTGCTTGCTTAACCTGCATGGGGTGCTGGATTCAGTTTTGAGCAAGGCATAAACCAGGCATGGTGGTACATGCCAACAATCTTAGAATTCAGGTGGTGGAGGCAGGGTGATCAGAGTACAGGGTAATCCTTGAGCTACAAAGATCATTGGTGAGCTGCAAACCTCAGCTGATGTAGTATAGGGAAGGCAAGGTCTGCTGGAGAGGGTTTGTAACAGGCATGGCTAAATCCAGACCATGCCAGACATATTTACTGGTAGTTTCCTGGTCTACTGAACACACAGGAAGCAGGTACAATAGTTATGGCTCTACTCAACCTGTACAAGGTTGTCCTTGAAGGGCAGTCAAGCAAGGAATAGTATAATAACCAGAGATGATTTGATAGGCCTTAGGAGATGTAATCATACCCAGGAAGGGACTGCATGGATAGGTGCTCTTAATGTTTTACAATTTAAAAGCATTTAAAATTATATAGCAGTTTTAGACTTACGGAAAAGTTACAGAGATTCGGGATAGAGAGTTCTATGACCAATTTCTCTCATTTATTAACATGTTGTGTTATTATATGATCATCATCACAGTTCATGAAGCAACAGTGTTTATCAGCTACAGCCCATATTTCCCCAGGTCTCCTTAGACTTTTCTTACCCAGCATCCCACCAAAGGAATGGTGCTACATTTAGGTTTTACCTTTTTAGGATGGTTGTAGGCAGACGGTGTCTCTCCCCAGACTTTCCTTGGTTTTAATAACCTTTGATAACTACTGGTCAAGAATTTTATAGAATGTCATTGGGATTTGTGTGGTTTTTTTTTTTTTACATTTTAATTATTGCTAGAGATTTATGATTGTTACCTTCTTCAAACATCTCCCTCCAAAACACATGAATAGAAAATATGTCATAACATGTGTTTATAAACCTGTAGTCTTTATTGAACAAACTGTGAATCATATGTTTTGGTTGTAGACATGCCATTCTCCCACTCAAACTTGGATTTCCAGAATCCAGGTAGGGGGAGTGAAAAAGGAGGGGAAGGGAAGGTGGAAGGGAGGGAGGGAGGGAGGGAGGAACTCCCACAGAGCTCAGATAACAATCTCAGTTTGAAAACTGCAAGTCACTGAAAATGAGCCAGTCATCAGTCATGCACCCTCATGCCCCAACTCTGACTAAAGGAAGCCAACAGTTCTTTACCCCAGACAGTCACTATCATGGTTTGTGTGAACAGAAAGGGAGAGCTTAAGGGACTGGGAATGTAGGCCAGGGGTAGCACTTGCCCTTGTGTGAAGCTGTGATTCAATCCTGGGCACCAAATAACAAAAAAAAAAAAATAAGTTAAACTAAACACAGCATAAATTAACGCTAAGTTTTCCCATGGTTTCCAATGGAAATAATCTTGAAATTATAATCGAGAACAATAATTAGACTTTCAATGAAACCTTTTTCTCTTTGCTTTTCAAAGGAGTAAAGTCCAAATCTAGGAACAGAAAGAAGTATATTCTATTGCTTTGCAATGTCTGGTACCACAGGAGAGTTCTTGTTATAGAAGAGCTATCATGGACTTTAGCAAATCAGACTGTACAGGTTATAGAGTTAATCAAAACACCTCTTAGAATCCTGCTCCATTGTTAGCAGTGAGAATGAAGTTCCTAAGCCCTTAAGTGCTAGAGACTTTGGAGTGCTCAACAGTACTAGCAGAAAGGAAATGGTAAAACATTTAGTGCAACAAGAAAAGGCAATACTCAATATTCCCCCATTGGAGTTCAAAATTAAAATATTGGTATTGGAATACAGACAGGCCAGAAGATGTGTTCTGTGAACAAGAGAGGTACTCACGGTGCTGGCCAGCTCCAGATAGCTTCCGCCTGTGGAGGTGCCAAAATGCGGGGACTGTGTGAGAAGCTTGTGGCGGACAGCCTGCTGAGGCAAAGAGCTTCCGCCACACTCCAGTAGCTTCTGGAAGGGCAGCTGGCTCTGCAAGTCGGGGCTCTGGAGGTCCCTGGCACCGGAATCATATTCCCAGCTCTCCCTGGCTGCTGACAAAGCACCTAGTCCGAGAGATGCAGGGAAAATAAAAAGACATTTCTTTCATTAGCCTGTGGGTGGTCAGTACGCAATGGTTGGAAACCTCTGAGTCTTCCCAGTGCCAGGGTCTCAAAACACATGTGACTCCCAGGCTGCCTGCTAAGCACTTTTCCTTTCAAACTGACATGCAGGAAGTCTGAAGATAAAAGCAATTTCAAGTAAAGAATTTGGAAATAACTGTCTAACGAATATGCACACCGTCCCTGACAGGAAAGCTTAGGAAGAGAGAGAGAGAGAGAGAGAGAGAGAGAGAGAGAGAGAGAGAGAGAGAGAGAGAGAGAGGAAAAAAAAAAAAAAAGCAAGCACAGGAGAGCCAAGTAAGAAAAGAAATCCAGATCGAAGCCACATCTGTTGGTGATTTGCACTTGGTTATTATGTTGACCTTAGTGCTGGCTGGTGATCCCGAGAAAGAAGGAAGCCAGAGAGAAGACAGAAGTTCTAGACTTAACCATGACTTCCTCATGCTCCCGTCATCTCACCTGAAGGGAGCTGGGCTGTGTTCATGCGAGATACAGCCACGCAGCTGAGTTCAGGGCAATAGACTGTGAACAAACTGACAAGCCTCACTTCCCAGTCTTCTCCTAAGCCCCTTGGTGTGTGATTCCCCATGCCCTTTGCCTTTTGGTAGGGTTCAGGTGGGATCGGCACTTGGGAAGCCACATAGTTCAGATGGTAGAGCCATAAGATGAGAGATGCCTAGATCTCCAAATCATCTTCTATGGGGAATGGTCTGCTCAACCTAAATGCCCTGTGTTTTTACCTAATACGAGTAAGAATGTAGCTCCTATTGCAGTGGTTCTCAACCTTCCTAATGCTGTGACCCTCTAATGCAGTTCCTCATGTGACGGGACCCCTGACCATAAAATTATTTTCGTTGCTACTTCATAATAGTAATTTTGCTACTGTTATGAATCATAATGTAAATATCTGTGTTTTCTGATGGTCTTAGTTGACCCTTATGAAAAGATTGTTTGACTCCAAATGGGTTGTAACCCACAGGTTGAGAACTGCTGTTCTCTTTGGTTTACTTTATCCTTTGGTGTATTGGTTAGAGCGTGTTAGTATTACCCCATTACAACAGATTAGAATCTAATGGTACTTGTTCAGTTGAAGCCTCCAGCTTGCCCCTGCACAGTCCAGAAAGCCCTATTCCTCTCTCTCTTCAAACCCTGCCCACTCAAAGAGTCTCCAAAGAAAGGAGAGGTGCCAAAAGGCCCAGTTCTCCATTCTTGGTGACTATTGCAACTTCCTCCACTAATGCCACCAGCTGCCCAAGTCCCCACCTAAGCACTCAGCTTTTGACCATACTTGGGCACAAACCCAGCTTGTGATGGATACATCATCACCTCTTGCCTACACTCTATAAAACTTTCCTGCCCCAGCCTGGGTGTGTGACTTCTCTGACCTCGATCTCTGGAACCAGAGAACCCACCCGGGAGTTGCTTTGCTAAACATACTTGTTGTTATACTTTTTCAATTTGGCTTGATCTGACTTACTGAGTCAGTGGAGAAACTTATTATTGGGGGGGGGGCAGAAAATCTATTAGTACTAATGATTGTAATACTAGTGAAAAAGTGTAACAAAAAGTTGACCTAGAGGAGGAGCTAAAGCTCAAGGAATCCATTTTTGCCGTTGCTAGGAAAATTAGATTTGGAGAAAAACCTGCTTCAGAACAGAAGTCTTTTTTTGGTACATGTGGTAAGTAGAACCTGGGTCACATGCTTCTATCTTAGCTGGAAAGGAGGCTGGGGAAATTTAGAGGGAGGTGGGACTTTGTTAGGGGAGACATTTTTAAACAGAGAAGGAGGAGTGTTCAAAAGGTTGAATGGCAGACATGTGACAGAGGTTGTGGCTTCCCAAGCCAGATGAAGGACAGTAGAGTGTTGTTGCCCATACCCCGGACATCTCTCAGAGAGCACAACAGGAGTGGGGCCACTATCTACCCAAGTCAGGCTTGGGTCTACTCAACTCCATAGAGACAAAGGCCGTGTCATGATCAAGTCAGTCAAGCTTCTCTCTCCCCTGTCTCCCCCCATACCCCGCCCTCACACAAATAGCTTCTCAGAAATCATGTGACCAGAAGTCTGCTAATCTGACTGATATGCTCGGAACCCCCCACCCCCACTTGACCTCTTTCCTCCCCTACCCCCTGACTATAAGCTCCCCCCACCATTTCAATAAACGAGCTGTCCTCTGAAACAGTCTTCCAGGTCATTCATTCCTGCAGTGTTCACAAGACCCTGCTCCCCAGCTCCTCTCCCCATCCTGGGACTGCCAGTGTGCAAGGCCAGTTGGGGTCAGGGGACCCACAAGAAGTTGGCACAGGCACAGATTCAGTAGGAAGCATGACAGAGTGTAGCTCCTGACTGTGGAGTATTGCAACCTTTAATGTATGACTTTCAACCATAATACAAAAAAAGGATTCAGGTTGATACGCTTGTATTGTGAAATGAGAATATAAACAGACTGTTCTGCAATTTGAATAAAATAATGTGTAGCAAATTGTGTACAGGGGTCTCAGACTGAATAGACACTCTTCCCTTTGTGGATTATTGGTGAAGTTAATCAATGTGATTTAGAAAACTATCTTCATATGATTTACCACTATTATGCTCTGCTTATCTTAAGTCAGCTTGACCCAAAAGTTTCATGCAGTACTTACTGTGAGACTAGATACACCAGCCACTCTGAATCAAAGCACACAATACTGTCACTGTGTTGGTTCAGAGCCTGAGCAAACTTGCCTTTCATTTAGATGATGGTGGTCCTGGGATTGAACCTAGAGCCTCACAAGTACTTGGCAAGCAATCCAGCACTGAGCTACATCTCCAGCCCTCAATGTCTATTTTAATACACAGCTTATCACTTATTATTTTTAAAGATCTCATTTTGTTATTTATATGTGTATATTTGCATGTATACATGCCTGCAGGTGCTGGCAGAGGCCAGGAGAAGCAGCATATCCTCTGGGCCTGGAATTACGGGCAGTTGTGAGCCCTGGGATAGGAGTGCAGGGAACCAAATTCCAGTTCTCTGCAAGAGTAACAAATGGTCTTAACCACTGAGCTTGCTTTGCTTCAGTACAGACTTCAAAGTGTCTGTCCTTCTGTCCTTTCCTGTTCCTCTCAGTGGTTTGTTAGTTTCCTGATTACCTCAGGGTTTTTTGCCCCAGCCCCAGCATTATGTAGCAGGAAGATTGAACGAGAGTGAGTGAGATCAGAGGTGAAAAGTGGATCTTTTCATCGGGACTGAATCTCAGGCGGCCTTCACACATGCAAAGATACACATAGAGCTGGGCTTTCCTCTTACATCCACATTATCCCCAGCACTGCACACAAGCCTGTGATAAATCAGACCTTTAATAAACATTCAATGAACAGATTGCTGAATTGTGCATGGTTGTAGTGCCCCAGGGTTTCATTCTTTAATAAGGAAAAGCAAATATGTATTACTTAAAAATATTAAAATAAATTATACACACATTCTTTTTTCTTTATGACAACTGTGAGAAACTCACTTTAAAATAAAATATAATAGTACTAGAATGAGCTAGTCAAAGGAAGCATTAACTATTTTATTTCTTCATTTTTTTGAGACAGGGTTTCTCTGTGTAGCCCTGGCTGTCCTGAAATCACTCTGTAGACCATGCTGGCCATGAACTCAGAGATCCACCTGCCTCTGCTTCCTGAGTGCTGGGATTAAAGGCTTGTGCCACCACAGTCAGGCGAGGAAACATTAGTTATTTCATGCTGATAGGTCCTAGCCAAGTTGGTAGCAGGTCTGTCTAACTGCTTAGCCATGCTTCATATTCACCACCAGATCAAAAGGCCTTAATCATTGTTCCATAATCCCTTCTGCTGAAGTGATGTTGAGTAACTCAGACCTCCTGCTAAGGAGCAAGTCAGTCATAATGCATCCATACAACACAAAAAAGGAAGTTCACTTAAAATATAGTAGACCACTCTCATTATGTTCTTTTCAGCTGTCTTCACATTAGACTTTCTTGGAGAGGAACCACCATTTTCAAAACACAACCTAGTCATAGAGTTGGGATGATTCCACTGAAAAACTTCGAAAGAATAGGTGTGGTAACCACCCCTTAGGCCTTTGCATGCATGGTAGTTCCTGATGATTTGAAACCCTTGCCAGTCTCCATTCAGCTCCTTTCTAACTTCTGCTGGTTCCTGTGTGTGTGGTGGCTAGAAAGAAAATGGCTCCCAAAGGGAGTGTCACTATTAGGAGGTGCGGCTTTGTTGGAGTAAGTGTGTCACTGTGAAGGCAGGCTTTGAGATCTCATATATGATTTCAGGGAGACAGACCACTTCCTGTTACCTGTGAGTCAAGCTGTAAGAACTCTCAGCTCCTTCTCCAGTACCATGTCTGCCTGCATGCTGCCTTGCTTCCCACTGTGACTACAATGGACTAAACCTCTAAACTGTAAGTGAGTCCAATGAAATGTTTTCCTTTATAAGAGTTGCCGTGGTCATGGTGTCTCTGCCCAGCAATTGAAACCCTAACTAAGACAGTGTGCATCAAGAAAGAAAAGACTGAAGACACTCTTCCCACCTCCTTATGGTCTTTCTCCCTTCCTCCCATCCTTTCTGCTTGCCTGACTCTAACAGATATAAGAGATGCTAAAACACTAATTCAACTCAAAACAAAAGTCTTCATTTTAAAGAACTTGACTTCTGGTGAAAGGCTGGAATGGGTTTTAAGGCATGTCTAGGGCATTGGGAGGACTCCCTTCTTCCTCCACAGCAGCATTAAGGAAGGAGGTTTATTAGTTCACCCTTTCCCATCTCGTTGTTATTCATCCTATGGCACCAAGTGAAGACAGAATCATTTATCCTCTCTAGAATTTGTATTTGTGTATTGACACAAATGTTCTTTCCCCACAGCAGTCACATTGACCCTCATAAGAAGAAATTTGGTAAATGTACTATTAGGTTATAATTCTCCAAG